CACCCCCATGCAATTTGCCATATTCCAGCTCAGAGAATTTATTTTTTTAAGCATCAAAGGACCATTTCCAGGCCCCCCTTCAGCCAGCTCCAAGATGTGCCCCCACCCCGTTTGGGCTGGAGGGGATTTACCAGCACCAGCGGGAACTGCAGCATGCCTGGAGCCTGGCCGTTTGCCTTGGTGCTGGAAAAACTGGTGCAAGAGCCAGTGGGAGCTGCGCTGGTCTGGCAGGGTGCAGGCAGGGTGCAGGCAGGGTGGGGGGGGCCAGGCTCCTCCGTGATGCCAGCACCCGGGACACGTGCTGGGTTGGGGCACGGCAGTGCTGCTCACCTCGCTTTCCCCCGCAGCAGCTTCCTAGCAGCAAGACTGATATTTTCTTTTATTGTTTTCATCCCCTTTAATTTTTTTTTTCCAGAAAAAAGGGGAAAAAACCTCCTGCTCTCTCTCTTGCGGCAGAGCAAGCTTTCCATCAGCGTGCTGCCGGAGAGCTCCCGGTTCTTTCTCTCCTGTAGTTTCTGCTGCCTTCTCTGCAGGTCTGCCAGCTCCCCAGTGCTTCCTGGCCGTCCACGGCCTCATCCTGCTCCCCAAGCACCCTGGAAAGGCTCCCATGTCGATGCCGGTCCCCAGGCTGCTGGGGAGCACAGGACAGCGCTGGGGCATGGGTTTCCAAAGGAACCCGAGCATCCAAAAACATCGCTGTACGCTCTGCATCTCTCCACTGCTGGTTTCTAGTGGATGCAGCAGCCTCCCCACCCTGGGTACCAACGTACGCCCCGCTCCGAAGGTGCGTTGGAAAGTTTGAGCAATTCGTGCGATGATTTTAATCAGAGCCCTCTGCTGCCGCGCGGGGCGGGGAGGATGAGCCAGTTTTTCCTGCCGATCCCTGGCTCAGTGAGTCGCGATCTCGGTGGTGATACCCGTCACATCTTCCGCCTCTAGAAACCAAAACATGTTGCAAGTTCCAAACAAGCCTCCCCACACCCGGCCTCGGTGCCTGCTGTCACCATCTGGGGACACAAAGCCTTGAGGTAAAAAAGCCTCCTTGCTGGGACCTTCCTTATTTTCTGGCATTCAGTTTAGTTTAGTATAGTTAGGGTTTTTTTTTTAATGAGAATACAGGAAATTTGGAAGGAAGAGGTCATGTCCACCTTGGAGCCCACCAGCACCATTGCAAACAGTGGAGAGTGCTCCCCTTGCCACCCTGCCAGGCAGTGGCCTCCGGCCAGGTGGCATGGAAAGGTGACAAGGAGGGGACAGCCCCTAGGCTTGCTCTGGAACCCTAAGCAAGGCCAGAAGCTCACAGGAAAGGAGTGATGCTGCAATGCCAGGAGGAGACTGGGAAAGAGGACCCAGGATAGGGGTGACCCCTGCCTGCCCCAACTCAGAGCCCCCTCCTTGGCCATCCTGAATTAGGGGTGCTCCCCCAGCCCACCTGCCTGCCGGGACCGTGCCTGAAAGCGAGAGGTGAGCAAGCCCCAGCCCAGCACGTTGTTTCTGAAAGCGCGGAAAATAATGAAATCATCATGAGAATCACATCCTTCACCCCAATTGTTAATTTTCCCCTGACACTTTCCAAAATTGTGGGGCACCGAGGCTGTGTTCGAGAGAAGCGGAGGAGCCAGCTACAGTGTGCTTTCACCGCCGCTTGTTTCCTATGCAAGTATTAGTCAGCACGGGGAACATTGCTTGCAGAGAAATTAAAGAAGTCTACTGCAAAGGTCACCCCAATAACAGCACCCCAGCCCCAGGCGTCTGCCCCTGCCCTCTGCAAATGTGTCTGTGGAGAAACACACCTAAGGAGGCAAAACTCCTCCATCTCCTCCGTCTCCATCTCCTCTTTCTCTATCTCCTCCTTTTCCTTCTTTCTCCTTCTTCTCCATCTCTTCCTTCTCCTTCTCCTTCTCCTTCTCCTTCTCCTTCTCCTTCTCCTTCTCCTTCTCCTTCTCCTTCTCCTTCTCCTTCTCCTCCTTCTCCTTCTCCTTCTCCTTCTCTTTCTCCTCCTTCTCCTTCTCCTTCTCCTTCTCCTCCTTCTCCTTCCTTCCTTCTCCCTCTCCTTCCTTCCTTCTCCCTCTCCTCCTTCTCCTTCTCCTTCTCCTTCTCTTTCTCCTCCTTCTCCTTCTCCTTCTCCTTCTCCTTCTTCTCCTTTCTCCTTCTCCTTCCCCTTCCCCTTCCCCTTCTCCCTCCTCTCCATCCCTTCCCGATGGAGCACCCTGCCATCATGTGCCCCATGGCCACTCAGACCCTGCCCAGTGCCACATGTCGCCCAGCACCCCACTGCCACGGGAACCCACTGGGAGCACTCATGGGTGCCTGGGAACCCCAGACAGCCCTTTAATTATGGGCCAGGCTCAGTTCCGAGGACATGTCCCCTGTGGTCCCTGCCTGCTCCATCCCTGGAAGCTTTCTCCAAAAAGGATGCGGGCTCAGAGGTGCCCGTCCTCGCTGCTGGGTGGCACGGGAGGGGAGGGGGCCAGGCTTGGCTCAGCTGATCCCTGCCTGTGCGGGGAGGAAGGCGGGGGCGGGAGGCAGCCCGGGTTTCCCTCTGAGGCAGAGATGGGCACGTTTCATTTCCACCCCAGCCCTTGCCGTGCGAGCTGGGG